TCCTCCCATTCCCCATCGGTACAGCTCTGGTCTAATGATAGCTACATGATATACTTACTTTTGTTATTTGATGTATCTCAGTAGTATAATCCTCATACAGATTTTTGTATCTCAGATTTGGTAAGTCTCCAGGTGCTCTTCGAGGCCAATCCTAGGAAATGTTGACACAGGGAGGATTTTTTTCTTTATACCTTCTCTTTATACTTGTGCACCTTTATGCCTTATAAAACAAGCATTTACTTATTAAACAGACTGACTTCCAGAAGACTCTTTAAAAGTCTTTACTATTTTATAGACCAGAGTAGTCTATGGCACAGCTCTGTGGTAAAGAAAAGGTTTAGTGAGGAAAGCCTTGCTAATAAATGTCCTCCTGGTAACAATGGATTATTGCCTTTCTCTGAACCCTTAGGCAGAGGCCAGGGTGGAGCCGAGATGAAAGGCTTCCTGAATCATCTTACATGGTATGGAAAGGCCTCTGTTCTCAAGTCTGTGCAATCAAATTTCAAACTGATTTCTCTTTTTGGTTTTCTTCTTCTTTTTTTGGCAAGAGAGAAAATAACTCCTGTATTCTTTTTTAGGAGAGTGAGAAAAATGAATATCATTCTATTGCTCAAAATTGCATATAGAATTTCAAAAAGTGACCTCTTCCCAGATGTAGCAAAAACCTATGTTAGCAATGGGAGCATGTCATCTTTTGAAGGATGAAAGCTTTAGGACTCCTGCCTTGCCACACCTTCATTAATCTTTTAGAAAGGATTTGGAAAAGAAAATCACCTACAAAATAATATAAAACAAGTTTTCCTTTATGAGTAATTAATAATTCTGGCAAGCTGTCAAGTCAGCTGTCTCATGGTGTGTCACTGTCACAGACCATGAATGAGGAGACCCACTCCAGGTGCACTGGAAGGCTCAAAGCCTTACTTTTGTCACAGTTGGACGATTAAGTCATTTTTAGAATTTGGACTTGTCAGGGGCAGAGGTTTTATCTTTTATATTAGGTATGTTCTTTTCCTCACACTGTTCTGTTACATAATAGGATAACTACATGTTCAAAGTCATGCTTTTTTAAGTATAAAATACAAAATCATATCCTTTACTTTTGAAGTAACAGTTATTCATGATATTACTTATTTTGGACACAGCAAATAAGACATAGCCAAAAGTACTCTCTGGGCAAAATAAATATGCAGCTGGGCTTTATCTGAGTTTGTTGTTAAATATAGCTTTGCTCTATCCCTCTGAACTCCACGTTAGTTCACGTATCATCTACCACCTTATCTTGAAATACTAGACTCCAAATGAATAGGCACTCTGTAATTATTTTTCTTCCAGATTTTTCTGACCATTGTGACCTGTTCTGAATGTTTGTCCCTCTCCCACATTTTGACCCAGTCTGTACAATACTTTCCCTCAATTCATCTACTGCACCAGATCCAATGGCCTTCTGTCATCTGTTCCTCACACATTCTCCTGGCCTCAGAACTGTGGGGCTGGCTGCCCTCCAGAACCTCATCCTGCAAGCAGCTGTCCTCACAAGGAGAGAGGAGCTTGGTTCATCTGTAAACATTTTCAAGGAGGGGGAATCAATGTCACAATGGGGTCAAAGCTTCAGTCTTATGTGAAGTGTGAGATGATGGCATTCTAAAAAATCAAATAACTTACCAGGAAGTACTTTGTATTCAAAATGATAGGAACCTGAAAGTGAGCCAGTGTATATTGGAATTTCTGCACCACTGACTTTCTAGCTAGATACTACAAACACAACCTTAAGATGCAAGTATGTTGCCTTGAATATTTCAGTGAGCTCCTTGTATAGCTTGGTTCTTTAGAGCTCTCTTAAGTACTCATATAGAAGGCTAGGATATACCACTGGAGTACAGGGAGTATCAAAATATTAACAGATACATGCACAGAGGGCTGGCTGTCCACTTGGACAATTTTGGTGAATTCCAGTCTCAACCCAAGCTAGAATGTTAAACATGTCATAATGAAAATCTAAAGAAATGGGCACATAGGGAGAGGATGTATTATTGCCAGGAGGAGGATTCAGGAAAGTATTATGCAAGAAGTGGCCACTGAAATAAAATGTGGAGAAATTCTATTACTGCCTTGTATGCTAGTGTCTGAGATGTGGATTTCAGAGTGTTAGGAAAAACTTTATGTCAGTAATGGGAAATAAGGTGAGTTAATATGACAGTGACTTAATGAAGTTAATATAGAGTACTGTTTGGAGAATAGAGGTGACTAGAGAAAAAGCCCATTGCGAGCAGGATGTAGAAAACAACTTGATAGACAAAGCTGGACCATTTTGGAGAGCTGTGGATCTTAACAAGAATGAGAAACATGGCCTTATTTGAACAGGGTTTGAAGGTTTGTAAACCATTCTTGGAGTAGTAAACCACTCCTCTAACTTTGCTTGCAAGGGATGGATGGACCACAAAGTTCTAGACACAATACTGCTTGAATTAAAATTTAAGTATGTACTTTTGTGTATGTGATACTGAATAATCATTTGCCCTTTCTAACCCCAGATCGCTCTTTTATAAAAGGAGAAACTTAAGCTGTACTAAGTCTTCTTAAAATTTCAACTCAGACTCTTAAGTGTATAAAATATACATACAAATCAAACATAATTAATAATAAAAGGTAAATTCATTTAAAAAATAACATTTGGTATACATAAATATTTGCTATTTATTAAAGACAGACAAAAATTTGCTCACAAATGGGATGTTTGTGCTTATTTTATGAAAATAATTACATCTTGGCTGAATATTTGACACCACAGCATGTGGGACAAATTCGACATTCTCTGCAGAGATGATGGATATTTTGACTTTATAGTTGTTAGTGCTGAGAATGACACTTTTCGTGTACATGTAGTTTAAAATGGCAGAAGTGAAAATGCTTAGCATTATTTCAGAAATCGTTAGAAATTCTTCCCAACTACTAAGCAAAAATTACTCTAAGATTTTTTCAAATGAGATTCAAGAAGATAGCTCAAACAAAAAATTAAAACCAATCATTCTAAAATGGAACTCAAAGATATATTACTTTAATATTTACAGAGGAATTATAGTAGGGGTATATTAAAATATTTTTATTAAATAATTATGTTTCTGTAAGAGCCTCACCATGTAGGCATGATGGCCTGGAGGTTGCCTGCCTCTGTTTTTTAAGTGCTGGGATTAAAGTCATACTGCACCATGATTGACTGAATTGAGATCCTAAAGAGTGGTTTTTGATGTTGTGTTAAACAAAGTGGAGGAATTATTTCAAATATATTGAATAAATATGCATAGGACTGATAGAATATGATTTTTTAAGTAGCAAACATAAGAAATATTCTCTTTTATATTTAAGTGATCTTTCATATCAATTCAAGTAAGTGCCTCTGTTTAGTGATGATTATATTCTGCCCTAGAGTTTTAGTGAACTCATATGGAGTTCCTAATGGTTTAGACTGTCATATGTAATAATCCAAGAAATATTGTTTGCCAAGTATGAGCCAAGTACTATTCTAGGGACATAGCAAGGAACAAGCAAAGGAAACATGGGCAGCACCCTTGCCCTTGAAGACCCTGTTTTATATAATTGGCCATGGAGGGAGGAGCACTAAGCAAAGGAAGATAGCACTCAGAAAGTTTTCTCATGAAGAAAGAAGCTCCTGATGAGATAGGGTAGGCCTGAGACACTAAGGAGGGCTACCCTACAGAGAACACACTTCAGCAGAAAACCTAGCAATTCCAGGAGACAGTAACGCCTATGGGGAGGACAGGAACACTACAGACAGCAGAAAGGCACAGGCATCAGCCTATGTGTTTCAGTAACTGAGAGCAGCAGCCTGCCAGGGGCAGAGTGAACTGTGGAGGTAGCCATTCAGATGGGAGATGAGAATGCATGTTAGTTCACTGCAAGGCCACAACTTGAGAAACTCATTAATAATCTCCTCTTGGCTTTGTTAAAACATTGTATCCCAGTAAATCCTTCAGAGGAGAAATAATAAAATCACCTTCACTCGTTTTCTTTCTTCTTTTGCTTTTTATATCATGACTGGGGAAATGGAAAACTCTCAGTTTTCTGAAGGAGAAAATTTGGGGCTCTTGCTGAAGGTCATACAGCCTGTAAAAGGCACAGCTAGGATTCAAATTAGGCCTTAGGATTCCAGGATCACAGCCTTTTGTGAGCCCCATAGTGTCCTTATGTAATCTCCGGAGAATAAGTTGCTGACATCTTAAAAGAGACCCACAGGAGAAGCTGTAACTGGAGCTGAGTGTTTACAAGCCTCCACTCATGGCTCACAAGTCCTTCGCTTTTGCTGTTCAGGGTTTCTGGTAAGGTATAGGAACCAGTACCTTCTCTGGAGAGATGGTCTAGTGATTGTGCGTTTCTTTTGCTTAGCAGCTCTTTGCTTTTATCACAAGAGTTGACTCTCTACCAACTTTGTGTATCTGGACTGAACGGAATATGTCAAAAGACATTTTAAAACGAACATGAAATGGGGTAAATAAGCTGGCATTTACTCATGGACGCTATATCAGCTGTTTCTACACTTTGCCCCTCCATTAAATTAACTGCCAGTCTGGGGCCATTAGAACACATCACTTTTCCCTCAATTATAGTCACACACTAACTCCAGGTAGTCTAAGCCTTTCTCATAGAATCCTTTTCAGAAAGGATTGGGAATTTCTTTTCAGTATGGCTCTTCCTTGGTATTCCCATTGTCAGGTCTCTGTGATTTGGAATTTTGGGTTCTGAATATGCCTATCTGAAAGCCAGTTCTGTTGATGATATGTCCCCTAGTATTTGCTTAAGCGAGAGCCCTAGAAATAGAGACATATTGTACTCCTCGCAGAAAGCAGCATTTGTTGCTTGCTTGGGGTTCTTTCTGATTGATGCAAGGGGGCGAGGGAAGAGTTGGCTATGGTTAGGGAGCAGATTTAGAGCGGCTTCTCATTGGAGGGGCTTGCATTCTCTAAGCTGCCAGACACTGCGGGCTCAACCAAGGCGCGGAGGTGCAATTCAGGCTGGTGGAGCAGCGGGGGAAGGCAAGGACAGGCGGGGCTAGTGCGGCTCTGCAGCTGATCACACGCACCAGCACACACACCTCATCCCTGCTGTCTCTGCTTGAGCCTCGCAGCATCCTCCATCCACCCCGGCAACCAAAGCGCGGACATGGAATAGGAGAATCAGAAAGGAAGGCTCAAATGTTTCTATTGCGAGGCACAGGAAGAGCTGGAGCAATGCCAGTGTTTAACCTGAAAGTCTGACCTCGGATAAGCAGCCGCACTGTCTACTGGAAAGAGGGCATCGCGCTCCCAGGAACCCCAGAGTCAGGCTTCTGAGTCAGTCTCTGCTTGGAACACCAGGGTCTTTTGGCGGAGGTTGTGTAGTGCTCCCCCCTCCCTGGGGGTGCGGAGGTTGAGGCACCTGCAGTGGCTCTCACCGTGGAACACCAGGAAAAGTAGGAAGGGGTCAGGCAGCCCTGAGCTCAGGGTGCTTGGCCAAACTGCCTCAGCTCCTTGCCGCGGCTCTGTCTGTCCTCTGCTGCTGGGTGAGTGCCCAGGCTCCCAGTGCTCCCCGGAGTGCCCGAGTGGCCTTCAGGCCCCTGGGGGTCCACACTAAGGCTCCGGTGGCGCACGAGGAAACTCGACCGCCCGCGCACGGCAGGAGTACAGGTCTCTGGAGTCCCGGGAGGGGGATTCTGAGCCAGCTGAGCGTGGGTAGGGGGCGTTGCACCACTGCCCAGCAGACATGCCTCTGGGCGGGATTTTGGCTAAAAGATAGGAGGCGGGAGTGACAAGGGAGGCAGGAGCACTCCGGGGGGGCAGCTGATCAGGGTGAAGCTGGGAGGGGGGAGGGTCTGAACTAAGCAGGTAGGGCAGCTTAGAAGCTTAGGGAGTTGACAGGTGGGGTGGGACTTGCTTGTCAAAGTCGTTAATTTTCAGCAGCCAGTTCAGGGGTGCTGCAAGGTAGTCTGGGTGCTGTAGAAAGGTAAGAGGTGGACCGGGATGCTGGTGGTTGGGAGAGAGAAGCGGGGCCTCAATGAGCTTGGAGGCAAAGTCGCACTTGAGGTCTTACAGCTTGAATCCCTCTTGCCTTAAGTGTTGGGGAACACTTCTGTTTTAACACCGCTCTTGGAAAGAAAGCCTCTGTCCCAGGGGAGGAAAGGTGTCTGCAGGGGTAGAGCTTGCTGCTACCTGCAGGGTGCTCCCCAACCCCCCACCCAGGCGCCTGCTTTCGTCCCCTCCCTCCTGCTTTCGTCCCCTGCCCCCACCCCCTTATTGGTGCTGGTTTGCAGCGCTTGGCTCCTGCGCCTCCGCTTCGTGTTTGAATCTGGCTCGCCCCTCCATATTATGTCTGCACTCCGAAGGAAATTTGGGGACGATTACCAGGTAGTGACCACTTCGTCGAGCGGCTCAGGCTTGCAGCCCCAGGGGCCAGGGCAGGGCCCGCAGCAGCAGCTTGTACCCAAAAAGAAGCGGCAGAGGTTCGTGGACAAGAACGGCCGGTGCAATGTGCAGCATGGCAACCTGGGCAGCGAAACCAGTCGCTACCTCTCGGACCTCTTCACCACCCTGGTGGACCTCAAGTGGCGTTGGAACCTCTTCATCTTCATCCTCACCTATACAGTGGCCTGGCTCTTCATGGCGTCCATGTGGTGGGTGATCGCTTATACCCGGGGCGACCTAAACAAAGCCCACGTCGGCAACTACACTCCCTGTGTGGCCAATGTCTATAACTTCCCCTCTGCCTTCCTCTTTTTCATCGAGACTGAAGCCACCATCGGCTATGGCTACCGCTACATCACCGACAAGTGCCCCGAGGGCATCATTCTTTTCCTCTTCCAATCCATCCTGGGATCCATCGTGGACGCTTTTCTCATAGGCTGCATGTTCATTAAGATGTCCCAGCCCAAGAAGCGCGCTGAGACCCTCATGTTCAGCGAGCATGCGGTGATCTCCATGAGGGATGGAAAACTCACTCTCATGTTCCGGGTGGGCAACCTGCGCAACAGCCACATGGTATCCGCACAGATCCGCTGCAAGCTACTCAAGGTAGGTGCAGCCCTCCCCTTTCCTACCAAGAATGAGCTACTCAGAAACCCAAGATTCCAATCCCTGGGTGCCACTCTGCCCTCTCCTCCGGTTTTCCTTCCACCACAGGTAAACTTCTTTGGAGCAAGGAAGTAGTCAAAAGAACTGGGGATTGATCAGGGGACTTAGTTGCCAGTTCTGATTTTTCCCTTACTTTGATGCTCTCTCTTATGCTCCTCACCTCAGATGCTCTGTAGTGCACCATGATGGTGACACAGAGTGCTGTGGGCTCCAGGAGCTCTGAGGGAGATAGAAGCCCTACTCTCATGCTGCTGCCTTGTCCTGACAGCTCTTTTGGTTTGCTGTCAACTCCTTCTTTCCCTAAACTTAAGGCACCAAAGCTTCTATTTTGAAGAATTGGGTGTTGAAGTTTCCTTCACTTCACTTTGGCGACTGTTTTCAGTGTATCACCTCTCAGTTATACTACCAGGTGGATTACTTTTTAGGACACGGTAATTTAACTGTGGTCTTCTAAAGCAAGCACACACATCCAGGAAGCTGTTAATAAAGTAAAAGACGTGGTTCTTTATAATTGTTATTTTTACTAGTTTCCTTGAGACATATTCCGTGAAATCCTGAGTGCTTTTCCTGTAGTGTCTTGTTAATTTTATTCTTAATTGCCTGATTCTATGAAGCCTTTGCCAATTACAGATTACACTTGAAGCCTTTCAGCATCCATTAAAGAAGGCTGCTTCCTAACACCTTGTTGTAGACATGTAAACAAAGTGCTCAGAGAGTATTTATTAAGAACATGTCCTTGTAGCCCTCAGAAGGCACCACCACAAACAAGAAGGGTCCCTAGTTATTTACCAATTAGAATTTGTGGAGGAAGGGTTGAAGTCTAGTTCTCACAGTCTACAGGTTCCACCTTTCTTAGGGAATTTCCAGAATGGTTTTAAATGTTCGTAATTTTAAAAGATAACTTCAAGTGATTAGTGCACTATTGAAAAAAGACTGCTCTAAAGTTATATAAAGGATCACAGAGCCAGGTTCAAAACTTACAGGTAATGAAAAAACTGCTGATATCCAAGTGGAGGGAAACTTTTGCCTTTGAAATTTCAATATGCTCCATTCAACTATGTTTCATTTTATACAGCTTCAACTTATATATAGTTCAAAGTGTTCTCCCAGGATTAGAAAAAATAATATTTTGCTCTTATGTCACTTTCATTATCACTTATAAAATCTCATCCTAATTATTCTTGACCAACTTGGCCAGTGCAGTGCTTGAATTAAAGCAGTTCACTTGCCCTGTCACTTCTCATCAAGTGAGTATTTCCTGAGCCACACTGGTGCATAAATGGCATTTTTGAAACAAGAGTATACAATTTTCAGCCTAGCTTTCGTGTACGTTTTCATAATGATAGCTATGATTATGTAATTTTAATTGACTATTTTTATAGTACACTTTAACTGTACAGAATTATTACATTTTTAAGGTAGCATTTTGTTTTATCGATGTCTGTTCAAATTAAGTGACTTGGCAGGTCTAAGTAAGTGGATGAGATGTAGCTGTGCTGATGGCAGAGATACTTGTATGTGCTCTCTTCTATATGTGTGGTGAATCCTTCCTCTGCTTGTTTAGGGAGGCCTAGTGGGCAAACAGGAGCAATTTGAGTGTTCCAACAGCCACTGTTAAGGAATCTGTGTGTAGATATCACTTTGAAACTTCCATTAACAATAGTTTATCCTCTTCACAAGAGTTGAAGTTGTTATTCTCTATTTTTTTCAAAACAAACAAAATTGTTATTTTTTACATGCCACTCATTTTAGGTGTTTTGAACATCGCCAAAGTTTATTTTAGCAAATTAAAGATGCAGTTACAAGATTAGTGACACATATGTGTACAATGGATTTGAGGTTCTTGGTCTCGACAGTGGTGCATATACTCTTGGTGATTTTTCTATATAATGTTATGAACCACATTTACCAGAAGAGTGTCTTGAATTAAGAAATAAAATATTATGATATTGGAGCAAGGTGCTATATTGACACAAGGTGATTAAAAATAATGTGACATTCAAATACTGGAGTAGCAGTGATGTGCTGAGATTATGATTTAATAGGAAGACAGCAGTGCTAAAAATCAAAGAACATGTGATAATAAATTTCTGTTGAAAGAAAATTATAGTGAAGTTAATGGAGCTCATTTTAAATTTGTTTGTTTTCTGGTAGCCAAGCTAAATAAAAAGAAATGTAATATTTTTTATCATCTTATTACACTACATTGAAAAGAAGTCATGCTCTACTGAGGAATTAATAACGATGAGCAAAATTAGAGGAGACATTTGCTTTAATGAGTGACCCCTATTTCCTGTTAGAGACACTTGAAGTGACATAAAACAGTCAACTATGATATGGAGAAAAACTAAGTTTTAATATTTGTTATCAATTGTGTATAATATTACCAAATATCAATTCAAATTTTAACCATTTTTAACACTTTAGATGCTATATTTACATATCATCAAAACACAATATAGAGAACTTCCATGTCAATAAAAGCCAGTATATTGTTGAACAATAGCAAGTATAGCACAAATATAATTTCTTATAATTTAATTAACATTTTCCTACTCATATTTTACTTGTTGAATAAAAAGATCCATTATTGGCACAAATATAGCTTTAATGAATCATTGTAAAGTAGTTTCAATTTTGGGGAAGACACTGAGATCAGGATACTGACTTTCTAGTATTGGCTACCATGTAGTTTTTCATGCACAATTCTTTGTAGTTCCCAATTATCTAGTGGAAAGATTATAACTTTTTAATCTAATTTCAATCTTGCATTTCATTTACATGAAGGAAATTTGCATTTAAACTTCACTCCTCAATTTCCTGCTTGAAAACACTGACATTCTTCTGACTAATCATGGTGAGATTCCCTAGCTTTGACTGGAGAGGTCAATATTTTCTTATAAATTAAATAAAAGGTGAAGTGTATAATTTGAAGTTATTTAAAATTTTTACACTCTAATTATAAATAAACCTCTATAAACTATTTTAAGGTAAATATTCCCAATATTTCCCCTCTCGTCATGAAATTAACATTTAGTTAGTTTTTTTTTTTTTTTTTGGTTTTTCAAGACAGGGTTTCTCTGTAGCTTTGGAGGCTGTCCTGGAACTCACTTTGTAGACCAGGCTGGCCTTGAACTCACAGAGATCCGCCTGCCTCTGCCTCCCGAGTGCTGGGATTAAAGGCGTGCGTCACCAATGCCCAGCAACATTTAGTTAGTTTTAAATTTTATTTTACTTAACTTTCTCTCAACCTAAGGAATAGAGATTAATTAATGTCATGGCTTGATAATTTTATGTATTATACTTGATAAGTTTTAATAAAAGTGCCTGGACTAGGGAGTTGAAAACTCTGTGGCCAAGATGGTGGAGCATATAACTTACGATGGGTCTGAAGAGAGTAGAAAGATGACTAACCTCTTCTGCCACTAATAACTGACTGACCTTATTAGAGGAAGAATAAAATGATCTCTCATGGACTGTTCATGAATTTATAGTTTATTATTCAAATACTGTCCTTTACACTCAAATATTTTTAAAATATAAACAAAAAGGGCAACTATTATAGCCACACTTGAAAAGAGGTAAGCAGAGCTTCCTCATGGAAACAATTCTTACTCCCTCATATTTCTATCATTACCAACAGTTCTTGTCTTCCTTGGGAGACCCTACACAGCTTTTAACTTTCATTCATTAAAAGGTATTAGGGAATATTCCTTTCTTCCCTTACCATCAGATACATTGTCTATGTACACTGCTTCTATTTTTCATTTATATAGCTAATCAAAATTTGATGCTGTTTGGTTTCTGCAATAGGAGTGTGATCATGTTCAGATGCAACAGAAAATAATATTAAAGTCTGCTCTTTGCTCTCTTCTTAGTGCTGGGAACCTAAAGTCTCATATATGCCAGCAAGTCTCTGCCATGGAGACACAATTTTGGCCAAACTTATAATTATTATTGTTACCATTACTAATTATTACTATTATTATTTCATCACTGCAGGATATCTACCCCAATGACTACCCACACTGGGAAATTATTCCACCACTGAGATACATCCCCAGTACTGTTCCAAGCATTTTATTAGTCAGTAACCACAATGACACATGGATTTTCTCATAAGTGTATTGATTTGTCTTTATCTTGCACTTAAATGCAGTTTTGCTTTTCACTGTATATAACTTCATCTTGTCTGCATGCTCACTTTTTCAAATAGATCTTTGTTTAAGCCTTCCCTCATACCATCACTTTCTTTTAAATGCATCAGTCCACAAATTTGAGTATATCTTAATATGATGAAAGCTTTATACCAAACTACTTGAGATGTCAGCGATGGAGTATCTCATAACTGCTGGGAGCCAGACTTGATGTTATGTGTTTTAGATAGGCTCATCATAACCCTCAAAATAGTGCAGTAGCTATTTATTTATTTATTTATTTATTTATTTATTTATTTATTCTTTGGTTTTTACGAGACAGGGTTTCTCTGTATTGTTTTGGAGGCTGTCGGTCCAGCCCGGCCTCGAACTCACAGAGATCCGCCTGCCTCTGCCTCCCGAGTGCTGGGATTAAAGGCATGCGGCACCACCGCCCGGCTAGTAGCTATTTATTTTAACCTTGCTTCCTTTGCCACATGAATGATGTTTCCCTAATAGGTACCAACCTTGGGTTATTTCTAAAATCTGTAGTTATTATTACTTTTTACTGTAATAGTAATACTTTTTTGGTTTTTATTTTAAATATGGCACTTAAAGAGTATGGGGTTCCTTGTATTCTTAAAGTGTGAAGACAAGTAAGGGATGTAAAACCCCACAAGCAAACAGCAGTAGGTAAGAACAAATGATAAAAGGAAGCAGGAAAAGGCATTTCATGGACTGAAGGGTGTTGTTGAGTAGGAAAGTAATGTACAAACAGGGATACAGATCCTGCCTGTAGTTATTATAAAGTGAACAAAAGGCCCCCATAGTGACACAAAGCAGAGCTTTCATTTGAACAGTACAAAAGCCTTACACAATTTATTACAAGAGAAATTACATTTCATCTTAATAAGGTACATTTCTTTCATAAAATGGACATTTTATGGGTTAATTAGCTTAGCATTAAAAGGGAAACTTTATTTTAGACATGGCATTGACTTTAATAATTCTACATGAGCTAAAATTTCAAGCTTTCATCATCCAAATAAATGTACAAAGTTCTATCAGAGTCCAGATAAATTTTGGGTCTGTATGCCTCTCTAACTACCTTAAATTTGGACCTGTAGGTCATAGGTTTAGTCATAATTGCTTTGAGTACAGAGGCAGTTTAGTTCCTGGTCTTAGTGCTTGTCCTAGACATAGTTCCTACATTTATCTTTAAGATATTACTCTGACTATATTCTATGTATTTCTCTTTGTGACATCACCATATACTTGGTGTATATAAATTCATACATATGACACGACACATTTAAAGATAAATGAAACTCCAGTCATAAAAACAGAAGTGGCAGGAAAGACTATTTTGTCCTCTCCGTCTTATCACTAACTATACAGTACCTTATCAGCTGACAGTTGAGGGAAGTGGCAAATATGGCCAGGAACTAGACCATGGCAGAATTTGGTGATTATGCGTGGGCACAGTTATAATTCCTGTGCCCAGACTCAAGGTGGGACAGAATATAATTACAGGTCAAAGATGGGAGGACAGGAAGATTCTAGGCAGTGAGGCCCTGGAGAACGAATATGGGCAATTGGCCATATAATGCCCAGAATGACAAAGGCTTAGTGTAGGTCTGTTTATGTATGCAAGTTTAGTGATATAATGTTTATGAGTATATATCTTCAATTATTTTTGTTTGTCACACTGAAAGTAAATTATTTGTTTAAAAGTACCTGAATATGATGTTCCCTTCTGAACACATGTGATTTTTTTGCTTTTTTTCTATCTGCATTAAAAATGTACTTCATTAGCTATACTTTTGTGGAAACTGAGAGGACACAAAGTCATTGGATAATAATAGATTTTTTTGAAAGTCAAAAACATAAGTCAACAATTACACAAAACCCTTAAAATACTTTCAAAGATATCTTTTCATTAAACACCAATCCTGTTATTTGTTACTTAGATGTTTAGTATGAATAGTAACTTAGAAGTTATTGCTACAATTAAAATTATTTCAAACATCCAAGTTCATATGAACAATTAGTAAGCCTTAGAGATCCTCAATCTTTCCTCTAACTCAAAACCTTTTGCTTTAGTATTAGCAACTAGCTTGGCTTTGGGATGCTAGAGCAGTATTTAGTATTGTTCTATGATTCCACGAAATCAAAGTTCAGTTGTTTGTAAACCTTTTCATATCAGAGTTTCATCAACTTATCTTCTCACTTGTTTAGAATTACCCATTTTCCATTGCTTTTATCCTCCTACCTTTATTTATTTTCTCACTAATTCTATAGCTTTGATGAATTTTATAATCTGTATTTTTACTTTAAATATTTTACTATATCCATCTAAATTTTTAGCAGCTGTTTGTATCTGAATGCAATGTGGCTTTTTGTCTAACCAGACCCCTGTTTCACATTATATTCTGTGTAATAATCATGGTCTATGCTTCCTTTGAAATAGGAAAATTGTAGAGTTGCAGGATCTAAATACACTAGCCACAAACACTCTATTAATGGCATCCTCTGAACTCTTATAATGACATAATTAAAAATTATTTTTACCTGAAAGGATTCTGCCTATTATTAAATCTCTACATTAAGCAATGTAGTTGTTACCAATACACGACAGGAAGCTGTGGGATATAAGTGTTACTCATTTATCACGTAGTCACAATGTAGAGTACAGCATACTTTTATAAGGTTATTTACAGGATTATCTTTTCCTGTTTACCCTTATTTTCCATATGCATGTGAAAGTCACAGTTCTTTAAACAAAAAGTACCAACTTCTCTGCTCCCACTTTTATTTTTACTTTGTTAACTTTGTTCTGGAAAATCTTGGGACATATACCAGAATCAGGAGCTCCTAGATTACAGTTGTCAGAAATCCAGATAGAATGTGTTTGCTCTGAGAATGCAGGTGGTAGGCACCTACATTTTCTGCAGTCTTGAAAGTGTTTGGTTGATCAGTGATAGCAGAACTTCACTTTGGTTAGCAGTTCAGGCTTCAGAGAGGTCCAGCCTTCCAAACACCCTCTTCTCTGACAGCATGTGTTTCACTTTTGACCGGCACCAAAGCCTTCCATCTGGTTCTAGCTATTAATAGACCTCTTAGACTAGTACCAAGTCAAAAAGGCAAACAACATTCAGGAAATTAATGCATTTCTAGTCTAAATGTCTGATGTCCTGACATAAATGACAAAGACATGGATGATAAATTTGGAAATATGTGTGAGGTATCTCAGGTAATTATGCAGTATATTGTATAGTGCCTGCTGGGAAACATTTTTGGTAGCATGGGAGGGGTATCACTGATACTGCAAGAAACAGGGGAAGCACCTTCCAAAGAAATGAAGCTATTAACCCTTTCTCCATAATGTCACACAGTAGGGTCATCTGAATGAGACATAGGGTTGTCAGGACACTCAGTCTCCATTGGCAGGAAGTAGATTAAAGGGCATTAATTTGACTATAAGAAACAAGCATTTCAAAAATGAAGACATGTTGAGTCTGTATGGAATGGACGTATGCACATCTGAATATTATTTGCCTATATCTTAATATACCACCTTACTAAAAAATGAGATATTTCCAATTCAGGCATACTTATCTCCTTGTTGTCTGGCTGTGCTTAGTCCACTTCTTTTCTTCAGTTATTCAAAGGTTAGGACATATTGGGCATAAAACTTACTCTAAAGCCACTGGTATGAATAACAAATTTATCAAAAACTAGGCACATTTTAATTTTAGTATACCATATGATAATAAAAAAATTATCTTCTTTGGAGAAATATTACCCTCCTCAATGAGAGTTTAAAGACATTGCCCACACTGTAGTACAGAAACAGGGAAGGGACACAAATTATAGTTATTAATTACAGATTTCAGAATATCACCTTCTGCTTGTATAGCACCTGTTGCTTCTTAGGTTGGAGAAACATGAAGTGGACTCTGTCTTTGTCCTTGTTTTCTGTTTTTCAGTCATTATTTTCAAATATGACTTAATATTACAGCTGGCAGTGGGGAAGTTTTTAGTCCCACTCTTATTTTATTAACTTGGCAATATGTTGAGGCGATAGGTGCCTGGAAAAAGCCTCAAACAGGTTTTATTTTTGTGCTGGCCTGACTTGAAAATACCAATTGCTTTCTAATGTCTAGAGATGAGGTTTTGGTTTTTGGATAATGAGTTTTTCCCAGAGATTAAAAGCAAAAATGTAATAAGGAATCATTTCTTCCCCTTTTCCTTTCTCCTTTTCTTCTACTTTTACATTCTACTTGCAGAAGAAAAGTGATCTCTATGTTTTTCATGAATATTCTCCCACACAAGTAAAAATTTCCAGTATTACCAATTGTAATTGGAGCTTCTCAAATGAATCAGCTTAGCTTTTGAAGTCCTGTATGGAAATTATAACCATGATAAACCACCACTGATTCAAAACCACTCAGGGAAGTTTTTTTTTTCAGGAAACAGACTATTCAACAACTCTTTAGAATTGCCAGCCTCATTTACCAAACATGAAATCCAATATATTTATTCCAAATGAAAATAAGATTTCTGTCTTTAAATAAAGAGTTTGTCTTTGGGCAAACCCATGATCTAGATTCATTTTCATGTGTTAAATTATTTGATGAAGGGTATTAAAATATACTGAACATTTCCCAGTCCTATTTGACCACTGCGATAGAAGTATTCCCACGGTTGTTGTTTTTTTCTGTATAAGTCTCTCTTTTTGTCTTTGTTATTTATGTTAAATCTAAATATTTGCTTGTACAGCTGTTATGTGTAATAGATATGCTAAACAAAATGGAAACAAATGGAGCATAAAGAATGAGTAAGTCTACTTTAATCATTTTCTGATATTGCATTTTCATTCACAGTCTTAGAATGTATCTGGTTTGTTGAATGAAGCTTTAGAGTGATTATATTGAAACAAAATACCAGTATCCCATGGGATTTTTAATGAACAATTTGTCAAAGACAGCTATCTTAAAATTCTATTTTGTTTTAAAAAGTTCAATAAGGCATTTGGCTATATTTTAAAATTCATAAATAGAACAGTAGAGAATTATAATAAGGTTATTATTATTAGGAGATGAAAACTATGAACTAATAGCATATGCCTATTAAGACTATCACAACTCAGTGTGATAGTGTCTCTTTTGTTTTTTATCTGTGTGTTGCTTTACTAAATTCCTGAAATAAAAGCAATTATTCATTTTTCTTTTCAAGATAACAAATCTCTTCTTAAAACATGCTCAGCATTTTTTTCACAGTCTCCAGTGGAAGTGCAAATTTATTTGCTTTCTAAGAGAAGACAATTCTAGCATGCAATTGGTTATCATGAAGGGATTTCTTTCAAACAGTGTTCGCATACACACTCAGTTCCATAGTTGTGTTCACAGCCATTGTTACAGCAACTATTTCCTCCAAAGCTCAGGAGTTAGGGACTGGTAATTATAGCAAATTGTTTATTATAAATTATGTATGTATGTTCTGCATGAGCTATGTGGGATTTCAGCCAGTTTCATAAAATATGGCTGTATAATGATTTGTTTGGATTACATTGCTGATGATTGATTGTGCAGAATGTTGGCAATAATGTGAATGATCGCTGGCTTACCTTGAAATTGTCAGTACAAGTAGTGATTTTTTTCTCTTTTTCTGTGTGCTTGTCTAGTCTCGGCAGACACCTGAGGGTGAATTCCTTCCCCTTGACCAACTTGAACTGGATGTAGGTTTTAGTACAGGGGCAGATCAACTTTTTCTTGTGTCCCCTCTCACAATTTGCCACGTGATCGATGCCAAAAGCCCCTTTTATGACCTATCCCAGCGAAGCATGCAAACTGAACAATTCGAGGTTGTCGTCATCCTAGAAGGCATCGTGGAAACCACGGGTGAGTAAAAACACAAATATATGGCATCAAATTTTTCATTTAGAATTCTCTACAATGTTACTTGCAATAACTGGCCTTATGTCGCAGTTGACAGGCATGAAAGTAAACACATGTCACTTAACATCCTGATAACACAAAATAGATACAATTGAAGTTTTCTTTTTTGGTGGTTATGTTCCTGGTATTAACCCAGGAATAGTGGTTAAAACTAAATTGAGATAATGGGCGAGTTTCTTGATGAAGCTCTGACATCTGTTATGTGGAGTCTCAGGGTAAAGTGTCCTCCAAGTTTGTGTGTGCACACAGAAGCAATGCTGTTGTTTCAGAGTTGAGCAACAATTTTCATATCTAAACATTGATTAGAGCTTTCTTCTTAAAACAGGACTTTTGTTTTTGTGCTTCAGATTGCTTAGTTCTTAAGCATCCAATGCCATCAAAAGTATATTGCTACTCACTGAGGAGCGTTAGGCAGGCAAAGAAAAGAACCGATAAATGTAAGTGTATCATTTGTGCCATAAGTATTCAGTGAAGTTTAGAACCTGCTGAATGCTTGAGACTAATGATACATGACTATCTACATACTTTTTGTGTGCATGAGCAGATATATGTGTATGCAACTTGGCTTTTGCATTTTCTTCAAGTGATAAAGAAGCAAGACCTATTACAGGTTTTCTCTTTATTATTTTTTGGACCATTACAAAGAAACAGTAACTGTTAAAGCATGCCAATACTGCAATTAGCATTGTCAAAACTATAAACTCAAGATTCATACTAGGGTACCTTTGATTTTGATAGTACCACTTGTCCAAGGAGTAGGCAGGTAGCTGCCTCCTTTTTTTTTTTTTTTTTGTTCTTTTTGGTTTTTCGAGATAGGGTTTCTCTTCATTGTTTTGGAGGCTGTCCTGGGACTCGCTCTGTAGACCAGGCTGGCCTCAAACTCACAGAGATCCGCCTGCCTCTGCCTCCTGAGTGCTGGGATTAAAGGCGTGCGTCACCGGCTGGCTGCCTTCTTTAATATCTGTGGTATAGTGACTGTTTGAAATTAGGCAAGGTACCATTTGCCTCTAAACTGCACCATTTCTTTTTTTAAAATGAGGAAAATACAATGACCAACTCACAACTGCTGTTTAACAATGCCTTTGTTATTAATGCTTATCTTAAGATTAAGATTTTTGAAAAGAAGTGACAAAAGATTTATTAAATCAATTAGGTCAGAAATTTGACTTCTGTGTGTTTTATGATTTACATTCCCCACTCTGTTTTTATTTTGGAATCAAATAGTGGTAGTATTCTTATGAAGTAATTTACTAAATAAGGAACCAATTTAAAGTTACTTCACATGCCAATATTTGTATATCATTTATCACAATAAAATGTAATATTACAGCTTAAAGACAGATGCCACATTTTACCTATTGCTTATGTATTTCTTAATTGATTATTGTCATAGTAATTGAGATAAGTGAATTATTCCTTTTCTTGGCAATGTTAAAAATCTTCCATTAATTCCCCTACCTATTTAAATGTGTAATCATTCATCCCTGATTTCCCACCCTAATCACTGCAATTTTAAAGCACAAGAACATTTCTCTGCAAAGTCAGTTTAAAGATGAAATCCTTCGTTTTTGTTTGCGTTTTTGAGATTTACTTAATTTTTAATTCTATGTAGCTTTGTTTGTTCATGTATGTTCCCTCAGAGGCCAGAATATAGTGTCTGATCTTCTGGAGCTGGAGTTACAGGCAGTGGTGAGACACATATCTTGGTACAGGGAATGTAGTTAAGGTCCTGTGCGAGATCAGTAAATTCTTTTAATTCCTGTGTCATCTCTCCATCCCTTTATTTTGTGTTTCTTTACCTTGTTATATTTGAAAAATCTAGACGAGGTTATCTATATATTAGTTCTATTTTTGCGTGATCTTCACATAATCATCAGTTGTTTTGAGATGTGTGTATGTGTGTGTGTATGTGTAAAATGATGTCTTTTGTTATTGTTTTTATATCAATATCTTAAGGACAAATGCTGAAACATGTCACTTTGTAATTTTAGCTGTATTTCAGAGAGTCTTGATTAGTAAATGGTGCTGTTTAAGGTCAGATGCAATTCTGTAACATCAATTATTCATTAGTGTTATTGATTTTATTTTGATGACATTCTTCACTCTTCCATTTTTATTCTGTCTCTTTTGCTGAAAGTCAACTGGCAGAAAATGCTTTGCACAGGCAATGTGAACCTGGGTGGACACTGAATTACTTACTGACAGACCGCTTTTCATGGCAAAAGGCATACATTCTTCTTCCTTTAAAAAAATCTCTTAGTTAAGCAAAATACAAAGTGAAAGCACTGCTTGTTATACATTCTTTATGGGAAACTCATTTATCCACCTGATTTTTTTTATATACCTGACACAGCTAACAGAATCTTATACTGTTCTCATTCTGTAAAACCTGCTTCCAGCCCCTATGTTCAAGATTGATCAAAATAACACATTTTTGTTTTCACTTGACCATTTAATACTTTTATTAAAATATACTCAGTTTTTCTCATGAATGAGTTTTGCCCCATATGACTCCATCCACAATAAACAAAAGTGTTCTCATGTCATTTATTTAGGGGAACAAGGCAGATGGGGTCAGGATGATTTATGAGGCAAGAAAATGATTTTTTCTCCAGTTTTTGGTTACAGAGCCTTGGGATTAAAGTTGTGCTTGGTGTAACTTTCCATCAGGTTTGAAATTAAAGAATCAACATTTGTGTCATTCATTTACTTTCCATGTAAGTGTTTATTGAATATGTGTTATATATGCTTGCAGGAATCTGAGAGACCAAAGGTATAATGGTGACTGTTCTTCCTGGGGTTTTTAATTGTAAGTGATAGAGACATACTACTAAAAACAAAAATAAGCAAAATGTTATCATTGTCAAGAAATGACTAAAATCTATCAGAAACCAAACCCCTCTTCCCTACTCCAAAGTCATCTGTTGGTGGGTGATGTTGATGACTAAATATTGCTTTAGGTTGATGCTCAGAAAATCTTCTAAGGGAGGGGATGCTTAAGCCAAATCTCAGCTGGCTGATCTATCTAAGGACAGAATATGACAGATCCTCACAAAGAGCTCCTGCAAAGGCCTGAATGCTGAATAAGCTGGATTTGTTTTGGTAGCCAAGATAAAGCTGTGGTTGGAGTAAGAGCTAACAATGTCGGGTGTAAAGAGAAAAGTTAAAGAGGAGGTCTAGCCTTCACTAAAAGGGTATTGCTTCATTGAATGCAAGCATTCGGTGTTATTTAGAAAGAGGAGTGATCATTTAATCAACTCAGCTTTCATATGACGAAAAAAATTCATTTTCCCCACAGACATGTAGTTTCTTTAGAAGTGACTAACTAATGTCTTGGAAATGTATGCAATTCTAGACGGTTCCTTCCTTCCTGACACTCATCTTTACCTTCTGCCTCCTGTGCAGCCCCACTCCATAACTGGTCACTTCAAGACAATCCTTTACTAAGAATTTTAAAATTTCATGTTGTTTTTGCTTGTTCCTGATCCTGGGGTGTCAGCAGGAATGGAGAGGGGCCACGAGGTAAGAAAGCAGAGGCTTCCTAATTTGCAGATTGGGTTAGCTAAGCAGCCTAGGGTTTCTAAATTAATCTTTTCCCTTCAGAGACTGTTGCTCTGCTTAACTGAAATGTGTCAGGCTCCCATGCATGCCACAGTCTGCCTGGGTTTCAGCAATAGCCTTTGTATCTTCATCACAGCAAGGTCCTGCTGTAGGATATACCTCTAACTTCTGTCCTCTTCACTGCTTCTCCCAGGAGAGTGAGCACTGCTGGACACAAACAAAGCACTGCGGATTTGGCTCATTAGAACTGAATGCTTTCAGGCTTCAATCTGGTTTCTGCTGCTATTTGGCAGTCTTTTTAATTGTCTTTTCTGTAATCTCAAGCTCAGTCCCCATGGGATCTATTTTAGACCTTTCCTCTGTCTCCATGCCCCCAGTCCCAGCTGTCACATCCCTTTCTTGGCATGTCATCTTTCCACCTATTCTATTAAAAACTAGATGACACTTCAGTTTTTGTACATTTCTTTGCTTTCACCCCTTTCTCACAGTTATGTTCTGTTCTTTCCTGGTACTTTTAACGAAGGCTGTCATTTCTTGTTTTCTTTTTGTCTATACTTTTTCTTTTTTGAGACAGCTTCATATTCTCTAACCAGGCTGGCCTGGCACCCATGGAAGTCTTGTCTCAGCCTCCCAAGTGCTGCTCTAACCTGTGTGAGATAGCACATCTGGCTTAGTTATGCTCCTTAAGCATTGCTACCTACCCCCAGGGTATCCTATTTAGTACCTACCACTAAAGTATCACATTCGGTTCCTGCTGCCATCTTCCCATTGATCCATTTTCTGTGATCTAAAATCTCAATTCTTTCCTCATGAGAGAAACACCATCATTCTTCCATTTATACTTTGAAGATTTTTTTCCTGAGCTTCAGAGGCATGACATTCTCCCCACACATCTTTGTCTTTCTTCTTTTTGGTATTTCTGATCATTCCTTATGTCTTTCAGTCCTTCATCTTGGTCTGTGTCATCTGATTCTCCCAAGCTCCCTGACCTTGCTTAGTGACTTTTTTCATCATCTGTAAAATTTGTTTACATAACAGCCACAGTTTCTCCTCCTTCCTTCCCCCAGGTTACTTTTTCTACCTCCCTTTGTCCTTCCCATCCACTCCTCCTCCATCTCCATTCAGATGGGGTAAGACCTCCCATGGGAATCAACAAAGCATGGCATATCAAGTTGAAGCAGGACAAACTCCCCACCCACACATACATAAATGGTCAACAAGGCATCCCACCATAGGAAATATGTTCCAAAATGCCTGGTCCCTCTGCTAGGAGCCCCACAAAAGAACAAACTACACAACGGTCACCCAGATAGGGTTTTTTTTTTGTTTATGTTTTTAAACTCAGTTATAGCTATCCCTACTCTACTATTCATGTCTAACTA